TCTCTTTTCTATTTTTTTCCTTCTGTTCGGTTGTGCATTGCAGTTCTTTTGTTTACATTGTTTGCCTAAATTTTAAGCGTATCCTATCCGAGCCCATTCGTAGCACATTCCCTTCAAACACTGCAAAATTGATGTTTAAAGAACAAGTTGACAATTCTAAGTTTCCTAATGGGGCCGGGTACTCAGGATAGAACAATAATACCTTACTTCCTGTCAATTTGAGGGTAAACTGTTTTAAACCAAACGGTCTTTCCTATCGTAGATGAGAGTTTGTATCAATCGCAAACTCTCTTCTTGTAAATCGTCTGTCTTTTCCTCGCGGCAGTGTAGTCGTGTTCTTTGTTGAGGATATGCTTATGCCATTTTGGTGTACTGAGTTACCTGAGAAAACGAAAACGGTTTTGGATTTTATCCTGACCTTTTAGTATTCTATTCGGCCTCATCTTCCCCCCTCTTTTAGTTGAGTTTTAGTTTTATCCTACCCAAGTGACCAAGCTCACGCACTACTGCCATCCTCATGGTTACCACTATCTATGCGCGTTTCAAACAGACAATAATCTTTGTGAAAAATGAGTAACACACAGTATTTGGAACAAAAAGAAAGGCCTGTGCACTCAGAAGTTTGAAAAGTGCCCTTTCCATCTCTGTGCTTCAGAATCATACTGCCTTCTGAATTTGAAGCCACTTCGCACCAAGATGCCCGAGTCTCCCGTTTCTACAACACTTTTCAGAATGTGCCACCAGAAGTGCTCTTTAGCGTAGAGTTATTTAGCCAGATCCTGGTCTTGATAACAAACAGCATTTAGTCGTGTTGAGTAAGAAACCCCACCTTTAGGTCCATCGTCCGAATCCGGTTAGATTATGTCATTCTGAGTGATTTCAACTATTTCCACTTCACTGGTAGAGGTTGAATTGGGGGGATTCTATCCCAGATTAGATCATTCACATGCAGTGAACATTTCAGTGAACTCAAGACACATAGCTACCCATTCATGCCCACTTTCTTTGTAGAAGAATGATCTGTCAATTGATGAATGTACTCATCATTAAGAAAAAAAGGTTTGGCAAGCAAAAGCTTTAGTTGGTGGAGTTCACTGAAGTTAGGAGGCTGAGAAATGTGCATGTAAGGCTAACCGGTTCACGGGCTTGAGGCGTTCCTTTTACTCTATCCTTGTGCATGGTGATGCCGGTAATACAATCTCAATCTTCACACAGTGTCTTCTTCTTAGCAGGAGCACGGGAAGGGTTTCAGTAACGTGCTTTGCCGCTCAGAGGGAAGCAAAAAGCCAGTCATCAGGTCCAACTAGCCTTTGTCCATTGTATGAAAGTCAGAGTGTTGGTACATCCACCGTACTGATAGTCACCGGATCCATTGTCTCCATAGCAGGCACTCCTGTTTTCGCCACTTAAATGCAGCAAAGGCGGCTTCAAGAGCTCTTGTTTTGCAGCACTTTGTTGAAACCATGGTGCCGTCCGCGTGGGCTACATCTCCAGTGCAAGTTATAAGCCGGCTCCCAAGCAACGCAGGCCTAAAACAACTCGTAGCATTCCTGACCAACTGAATATCAAATATTCCTTCTCCGCGTCTTCCGGCTCTACCCGAAGCTATGCTCGGATATCTGTAGTACTGTGTTTTCGTGTCATGCGACCATTTTGATGGGCGGTGGACTTAGACCATAAGGCAGAGCTATCTTAATTTAATCGCAATAAGGCGTTCTACACCCAAGATAATTGACTAGGGCATGTCTAATGGTGAAATGTTGTTCAGGTAGCGAAGTAGCTGAGTTATACACTAGTGGAAAAGTATTTGCATCTTATTTGCCCATGTTCGCATTTGATACCAATTTCTTACAGTAACGATAATTTGGTGCGTATTTTGAGTTACCATAAGCCGAAAAACTCATTCCCTCTAGTACTCATGAAAAGCACTGTGGCTTTTTTCAATACTGCTTTGACCACTGATCGAATGATACGCCCACCCATCCCAAATAACCGGGGTAGAGTGGGTTTGTGGGAGCCGTGTTCAACAGCTGAAGTTTTAGCCACGCAGACCAGTAGATGCATAGCGATTAATCACATTCATACCGACCCGTTGCACACAGTTTCGTTCATCTAAACTATATAGTTTCATCTAATAGAGCTAGTTAAACATGACTACAGTTTTATACGCACTCAACTTATTCATCCTGACTTCTCTTGGTACATTTAGCCGAATGCAACGATGCTACATAGTGGAGGTATTTTATAGTACTGCAACAGAAGAATCTTTTGCTTGTCGTCAAGGTATTCTCCGCATGCCTAATAATGCGTCACGGCTTCCATCACGGTAGTTATAGAATTCATAATACATTGTATGTGCTACAGAGCAATTTTGTTCAAATAAGCCTGGGTCACAGTCCATGAGACAGTCCGTGAGAACCAATTGCTGTCGGTTCTGCATTTTAGAGGCCAAACAATTCCTGCAAAAGCTTCCACCTGGTTGTATTCTAACGAAAGTTACTGAGTCTTCCTTACATGCAGGCAGTAGGTAACATAGTAATGAGAAAAAAGTCGGTTTGAAAACAAACCGAGCACTAAAGCTTGAACAGATCGAACCAAAATTGAAAACCAAATATGTAGGCAATAACAGAGGAGCAAGTAGGAATTTTTTTGCACCGAAATTTTGTCCGACTTTTTTGGTTGGTGGCTCGTTCGAGGGATTGTATTCAACTCGAATATTCCATGTTTATACCGAAATTCTGCCAAGCGTCACAAAATATTTGGTTTCGCAAACCTGATTTTTCTGGACCATTTGTAGGTTGAATGTACTGGAACTGAAGGTTCGATGAAGTCAATCGTATTTAATACACTATTGTTCTTCCACAGTTCATACGGCTGACAAAGAGCTGCGGGGTTCCAGCAGTGAAAATAAACAAATGGAATGAGCGATAAAATTTTCACATGGTCGATTTTTTTATAGATTCCGGGACTAGGCCTGACTGATGAGCTTGAAACAGGAAGAACGCGGCTGTGAACAATATTGATGTCGGACAATCTTCCCATGCATTTAGCCTCACGTTGGTTCCACGGCTATTCAACGGTTTTATGCTGTGGACAACCATACAGTGTTGAGTTTACTACAAAATTAGATTTTACTTCGCTTGATTATGTGAAGTTCCTTTGCATTTTTGAAGAGTCAGGCTTGTTATGTGCAGTCTTCGTGGTCTGAGAGATTGGAGCATATAAAATGATATACATAATTTCCTCGTAATGCTCAAGGTGACAAGAATAAAAAAAGCAGCTTCCTTTGCACCGTGATAACATTTGCATCTCCCAGGCGGAAGCAAAGCAACACAGACAAGACCAAAATTTGAGCCATAATGCACATAATGACTAAATGAAAAACCTGAAAAAGCATTCTTCTAGAAAAACAGGCGGAAAAAGTTAACCAAAATACTAAATATGAAAATATAAAATTCAGTGGTATACACATTCATGGAAAGAGAAGGGTAAATGATGAATCACGTGTGACGTTTGGAATCCTTAAACTTTGCGTACATAGGGAGAAAATGTCAGAAACAAAAGTTACGAATCGTAAACCTTTTATGATTAGCTAGCACTCAGACAAGATATCACGCCACTCATTCTTCAGTCACTTCATCCACATCAAGTGTTCACGCGTGTAATCTGGCTCCTCAAGGAACGACTTCTCAGATGAAGCTTCACTCACCGGGTGAATTTTATTCCTCTTACGAACTACTTCTAAATCTTAGTATCGTGAGGTGATTTGGGAATTTTCGGTTCAGCCTTCGTCCTGTAAGTGAAGTCGATCTATGCTGAAAATCGTAGAAGCCACTGAAGCCGAAAATAGCTTCCCGGATTCTCAACATAGACTGGTTTCAATTAAAAGAATGCCAATAATCGTAGGATGTTGCTTCCTGCGTAGAGAGGTATTTTTTAATTTGTTCATGAAAAACCATAGTCAGTATGCCATGTTATGTACCGTATGTATTGTTGTGGGGACTAGCAAAGTTCATAGAACTGATAGGGTAGTCATAATGGAGGTGGTGATATTTCTGAGCTACGAAAGCCCTCGACACACAACAACAAGCAGTCTTGTGGTGGTGAGTTCTTCTAGCGCTCGCAAATGACCGAAGTAACCGTGTACACTTAGTGTCTTTAGCTTAGATAATGAATTGCCAACGCCGTGGTACGTATAGAACCCGAGACACTAAGTGGCTGTAAAGTTAGTCTGCGATGGCTTTCGGCGGCAAGTTCTACTTTACTGAACACGTTAAATCAAAATGGATTACGGCAAAACCGACAAAAATAAACGAGTTAGAAAACAAATTCTATGGCACAACGAAAAACCTGCAGAATATCGTTGAGGCGAAACTTTTATTCGTGTCGTAAAACAGTTACGCACTCGTTTTAGTTTACCTTTCTTTTGTTTACACTCACGCTACCGCGCATCTGAGTCTCTAAGGATCTTCTTCTGATATAGCAAGCTGTCAGCAAGATGCCCAGCCAATACTACTGGGATCTGCCAAGATTTAGTGTTTTGTTAATAAGATGTACACTGTCAACCTCCGCCGGTCTACGGCTGCTGCGTCGACTGGTTTATTCACACGTTTCTAAGTAGTTAATATGTTGGCTTTAAATATGTGCTTGAACTTTTACTCAAGAGAAAGAGAGAGAGAGATTTTATCCATAAGTTTGCCTGATCATTGTACTGTACAGTCGCTCATAACTGCGTCCTTTATTTGTTATAGATATTTCTAAAACAACCTGTCTCTTTAAAATACTGATGCTAGTGGTTTATGGTGATCTGCCAGACGCCACCTCTCAAATCCATGTCAGTCAGTAAGGCGCCACTGTTTCTTACTGGCCATATCCGTTCAGTCTGCCGCTGGTCCTCGAAGTAGGTCATACTACTGTCCACTTCCCTGGTAAGTGTCAAGGTCACGAAGGATAACACTTGATCAGGGTCTCTTTGATAAAAATGTGTAATTTTCACGCTCATGTGTGAACGGCAAGACAAAATCACTGTCACACGTAATATCCATTCTTTTATCCTTCAGAAAAGCCTTTGGAAGACGATGGACCACCGAACACTGTTGCAGATTCCACCAGTTATCATGGCGATATTGAGTGCAATATTAATCCTGAAAATGTTCCCTTCCATCTTACTGACACTCCTGGTAAGTAAACCAAACAACGCCTTATTTGAGAAAAATTTACCAGCATCCCACGAGGATCCCAATATTGATTACCGACAGATTGGTTCATATCGAGTGGATGAACTCTTCTCCAAAGATACGTTTTGTTCGCTTGAGAACACGTTTGAAGATATTTTAGGTGAACTTCGTTTACGATTAAACGTAAGTAGCAATGCGTTTAATTTTACACCATTTTGAAGCTCCACAAATTTCAACTGAAAAATGTCTAACCAGATGTTGACTAATCCACGCACTCGTCTGGCTACTGATGAATAGTAAGTAACTTACACCCAATTAGCCACCCAATCTTGTGGAGCGCCTGATGAATACCGGTCCGGGATTTTAACCGAATTTCTAAAGGGAAGGTGTGATTGGATCACGAAGTTCTCAACCACACCAAAGCATTCCCTTTAGTGGGGTGCATCCGGAGGTTCTGGTTGCTCATACCAATCTGATAGTCTAAGTAAAGACGAAAACGTTCACGTGACGGATCTTAAATTAATTGTGTA